TTCGAAGTCCTGCATTTTCTTCGATATAAAAATACGAGTATTTTGAAACATAAATAAGTATTTTGTGTGAATGGAAATGCAAAACGCAAAAAATCTCAAAAAGCAGCTCGAATTTTGAGCTACTTCAAACGTTCACTTTTTGTACTCAAATTGAATGAGCTATAAAACTTCATACCAAAAAATTTTCTGTCAGCCTGGTACAACGCAGCCATGTTTTTAACCGGTGAAGGGTTGAAAAGTTTATTTCTGAAGTAGCGTTACTAGCTAGAAGTGCGGCCAGAATGCAGAAAAGTTTGTAAATTAATGGAAAATAATATTCGCCGCAGTTACCAAGAGCTTCACGTTGCACACAGGAGTAATTGTATAATAAAACCGGTCAAAATTCAGATTTATGAACTTTGATAAAATTTTCTCTTCAAGCTATAAAAAATAGAGTCACAACGTGATTCTATTATTATATACATAACAGATAAGTCGTGTGACTTTAATTGGCACCCAACAATTGTGTTCTACTACGCAAGAAGAAGAAAAGTATAGTGTAGTTTATCAGAAATGCATATCTACATAACAAAGTTCCACACGCGCCAATAGTGCATTAAACTTATTTTGTCGCTAATGTAAACAAATTGTGGTTCACACGAAATATTATTGAATGCTTGATTTCTGCTTACATTGCATTTTCCCATAAGCATAAGCATATATATTTCTGTAAGCTAAGCCGATACTCATATGTATGTGCGTAAGTATTTAACAGCACATACATATGTTTGTATGACTAGTATGTAAGAATTACGAGTAACAATGTATTATAGTAAATTAGAAATTATAGAAGTAAATAAGTTTAATAACTGTATAAATAGAATTGAAAAATCAAAATAAAGAGAATTGATTTTTGACTCGCAGTCAGAACGCATTTATTATTTATTTGGTTATTAATATTACAATAGAAAGGTTTAAATTTAAAATTAAGTCGTATGACTTAAATGGAGCCCGAGCAATCGTGATCGATCGAAAAAGGGATAATAGATTAAATTTAAAGTTTAATCATAAGACCTTAACTGACACCCAAGAATAGTGACCTAAAAAAGTATCTATACGGAGAAGGAAGACTATAACCGGCACCCGAGGAATACAGATCAACTAAACAAATCAGGTGTGGGAATACGTTTACTTTCAAAGACCAGAAATAGAGCTTTCTTGCTTTCGTACACATTTACCTCGCGATCAAGTGCGTTATTTATGGTTCAACATACTACATACAAGCGGGAATGCAAGACACTGCGACACATTAAAGCTGCAATAAAGACACACGACATAAACTCCCACAAATCGAGTTTGCTCCTTTTTGTGCTGTTCCCTTACTAAGCAGAATCTACAGTCGGAATTTATATGAAAGAGTTCTCGTATTTGCGCAGCTATGACTTTTACGCGTGGAAGAATGTTTTTTCTGTAACAGTTGACTAAATCCTGTATTTTTTGACCGGTACGGGAACAGATCATCTTCATCAGTTTAAAATGTGGAAAATGGCTGTACATATATTTTGCCGTTTGAGTTAAAGGTAAATTTATAAATTTTTCATTAATTTGTCACTAATATTTTCATTTATTAGATGCCAAAGCAGGCGCAAAAACTATCGAACCGTTTGGCTGAATATGTGAGGCAATTCCCATGCTTAAAAACAGATGGAAGCGTGTTATTTTGCAAGCTGTGCAGTAAACAAATTTCCGCAGAAAAACTGTTTTTCGTAAAGCAACATGTGAAATGCGCTTCTCACATACATAGAAAGGGTCGCAGAAGCAGAGAAATAGCTATCTCAGCAGTTCGTGCAGGAAAGTCTGACAGCTTAAAAATAAGAAAACTTCGTTAAAGATTTCTGTGACGCTTTTGTGTCTGCTGGCATAGCCCTGCACAAAGTACATAACGAGATGTAAAAATGAATTTCTAAGGATGTCAATTGATGAAACCACTGATGCTACGGGTCGGTGCGTTGCCAATGGCGAAAAAAACCGACAAGGCAAAACTTTTTTACTAAATATTGCGTGGTTGGTAAAGGTGAACCACAGCACCATTACCAGATTGTTTGATGAATCCGTAAACTTGTTGGGTTCTGAATTCAAAAACAGATTGCTTTTGTTTGTGACTGATCCTGCACCTTATATGGTGAAAGCTGCACAAGGTATTCATGTTTTTTACCCGAATCCGAAATGTGCGAATTGCCTTTGTCACCATAGCCTGTGGTCACTAGATGGGGATCATGGTTAGAGGCTGTTAGCTATTATGCAGACAACTTCGAAATAGTAAAGGAAATTGTTAATGATCATGACGGCGAGGAGGCATCCGCTATAAAGTCTGCAAAAACTCTGAAAAACCTGAGCTTAAGAACCAAATAATTTGTATCAGTGTCAATTATGGATTTCTTCCAAAAAGCATACAAAAATTGGAAACTTCAGGTCTTTTATTAAAAAAATTCCATCGACATTCTAAATGATGCCAAATATAAAATTGGATCTGTGAACTTGCCTGCCGTAACCAATAAACTTGAAGCAGTGTTAATGAAAAATGAAGGTTTTGAAATGCTTAAAAATATTTCCAATTGCATTTTTTAAGCGCTTAAAATGGTATTTTTAGTGCATGATTTGTATAGCCCTACATATGATATTCACATTTATAAGTATTCATTTTAGTAATGCTGTGAATTGACTTTTGCCGAGAATGCAAAGCAGGTCGAGGAACCGGGAGCATTATGAAAGAGTACATCGCATTATAGGAAATGATCGAATAAATAATATTGATGCTGTCGTTGTGGATAGTGTTTAGGCGCGACTGGTAACACCGGGCGCCTAAATGCATGCTATGCACTGCTGCATGTGCAAACAGATAGTGTAACAGGCAATTTTGTTTATCAGCCCTGTAGTGCAATTCACTAGCTTTTAACGATACGATTTGTCGAGGTCTAATATAACGATTTTTGTGGTTTGCAGTAACGATTGTATTATTCGGTTACTCTTTTTTAACGACACTAAACAGCTGACATTTTGGCAAGGTGGCAAGTTAACACCAGCGAGAGGTTGATACCCCTACTAGACAAACCTGACGGAAACTAATACACACACACCAGTGAACCAACACAAATGCAAGTATGGACATATATTAGTTCAATCCTGTGTACTAGCGAGAATGAAACCCCTCAAAATTTGAAAGAAAGAGATAGCAACAATGTACTACGACTGTTTTCAGCTAATTTCACAGAGTTGCATTTCATGCTGATTGAAAGTAGTTGCTACCTTCAAAATACCAAATATATCTGAGTACTATGTAAAGTGAACTATTTAAGATATTTATTTTAGTATTTTACCTTGGAATAATTTTACTAATTAAATTGCATTTTTGTCTTGAGTACAGAAATTAGCACCACAAAAAATTAACAAAACCAAAAAAATAATACTTGGAAACCAAATTCATTCATACAGAATACTTTTCAGAGCCAAATTTCTTCATCACTAAAATTTTCCTGCATACCTAGATTTTTTCCAGAAAATCTTAATAAAAAGTTTGTTGTTGTTGTAACATTTTGTTGATTTTTTCTAATTTTTCTACAAAGTTTGAAATTCGGACCTGTATTGTTTTTGTTAGATAATGAGCTGTATTTCTAAAAAAAAATAATAAACAGTAAACAAACAATGGAAAAATTGCGAAAACTGGCCAACATGTCGTGTCCCTATTAATTTTCGCATGACTGTAATTTAATTAAAATATTGGTATGCAATTTTTTCTAAGGCTGAAATTTGAACTTATATGTGAAGTAATCAGCTATACTTTATTAAAAAAAATTACATTAAATTAACTAAAGAAAAATGGCCAAAACTTGCAAAAATGTCGCGCCCAGTTTTCATTTGGTTTACTGTATATTTATAATATGTATGAAAACCATAAAAAAGTTATACAGCCTTATTCTGTATCTCGAACGTTAGGCCGCACGAACGATTCGTCTGTAGGCGATATCGTCACGGATTGCAAGTTTGTAATGGGCTGTTTTTGCTTACGCGTAAAAGCACATTTAGCGCATTTAGCTCTAAATGCCACTCTAAATGTACATTTATCCATACAAAATTCGTCACCTAAATGCAACTAAATGCAACTCCATTTTTGCATTAAGAATCTTCCAAAATTTCCACGATTCGAACATGGTTTAATGAGAAAAAGTGGCAACATTGCTTTTTCGCGTATACAGTGGCTAGCTGCGTTTCAGTGATCGCCGATCGAGATTTCATTTATTATTTTACATTATTTGGATAAAGAAAAGTTACGCCAATTCAACATTGATGTGATGCTGATAGAAATCTGGATCAATTTGTGATCAAATCTGTTTGTTTTGTTTCCTAATTGAGGAAATTTTAATTGACAGCACCGACAAATGAATATATACACAAACAAATGTTCGGTTATGGTTAAAACAATTCAAGTTTTTGTATTGAATTTTTGGTTTAAGATGTATTCTTTCCTTTTCAGTAGGGTTTTTTGCACATTATCTTCTGCGTGAGAATTGATCGTAATAGATACGGATCTGAATAAGCGACTGGAACACGGCTGTTTGTCAAAAGCATACGATTTCGAACTCCCGTAAATGTACATTTGCTAAATGCGATAGCATGAACGCTCTTCGAAAACATATGTTCGAAAGTGCTAAATGTTGCATTTTAAATGCAGCAAAAACGCTGTATAACTCTGTCGTTCGTCTTCGTCTTGCCTTTACGTCGATTACGTTGCTATCGTCTCGGTTACGTTGAATGATGTTGCCGGATGTAATTTTGATGTACTTTCAAAGATTTTTTCTTAGATTTCTAATATTTTCAGCTTATTTCAATGCTTTTTATTTTAAATGGGCAACATCGGAATTGTTTACATTTTGGTTTTGCTTAAAAGTGTTTTGGTTGTGTTGCGGAAAGAATATAAGGAAAATCTATTTTAAAGAATGTATGCTGCTATAGCGGTCATGGACGCCGAGGAATCTGAAGAAAGGGAAAGGCGGATACAGAGGAGGAGATTGCGAGACCACACCAATGTAATGGAACTACCTGAGACTGAGTAAGTTCAAGATTAGCCAATAATTTTTGTATTCTACAATGTATTCTTTTTTAGATTTGTTGCAAATTTCCGAATCAATAAGGAAATATTCCAGTACATTTTAAATGAATTACAAGAGCATATGGCTCCATCACATAGAAGCACCCACCTATCGCACCAGCTGAAACTCGCGACTTTTTTAAGATTTCTGGCCACCGGCAGTTACCAAAAATCTGTTGGTAACGAAAATATTTCGTCGATGGGGCAGTCAACTGCAGCCAAAGTGATTAAGGAGTGCCTAAATATTTTTGAGGACCACTTTTGCCAGAAATGGGTGAATTTTAGGAGAAACAACGATGAGGAAAATGCTGTTAAAGAATATTTCTTTGAGAAATACGGAATACCTGGGGTCATTGGTTGTGTTGATGGAACACACGTTCGTATTAAGTCGCCAGGAAGTGACAACCACCATCTATACCTCAACCGCAAGGGTTTTTACAGTGTTAATGTAATGGCGGTAGGTTAATGATATACTATACTATCTTTACAAGTATACATATACACAAACTGAGTTTCCTTACAGATATGCGATCACAACATGGTCATTACATTTGTTGACGCTAGGCATCCAGGGGCGAATCATGACTCATTTGTTTGATTTGAACGGTGCTGGATTTCAATATAACAATGCCATTGATTATAGTTTGCATAAATTTGTGGTTATTGGCGCAATGGACAAAATATGTCAATATTGTAATGCAGTGAAATTTAAAACTGAACCTCCTGGAATGTGTTGTACTTCTGGGAAAGGACGACTACCAGAATTACAATATCCACCAGAACCATAAGCTTCACTGCTTTCTGGCTCAACACCTCAATCAAATCATTTTTTGGATCACATTCAAATGTACAATTCATGTTTTCAAATGACGTCTTTTGGTGCGACGAATATAATAAGAGATAATTTTATGCCGACCTTCAAGGTAATTTCGGCATCAAGCATTTCAAATGAAAATTTTGAAATAGACAATCTATCATCTGAATATTTTGGCTCTACATTACAGATACAAGGGCAAATTTACCACAAAATCGGTTCCTTGCTGCCATTCCCAGATGCTAACTATCAATTTTTGCAAATTTATTTCCTTGGCAATAATCAAAATGAAGTCGATACACGTTGTGCATTTTTTAAAAGTGCCAGAACATTGATAATTGAAGAATTGCAAGCAATATTTCATGAACATAACGAATTGGTTACTACGTTTAAGACAGCACTTGATCAAATGCAATCTGATGATCATAAAATTGTGATTAGAGCTGACAGAAGACCGATCGGTGAACACGAACGAAGATTTAATGCACCGCTTAATAATGAAATTGCTATTGTGATTGTTGAGGAAGAATTTCAATCACGTGATATTGTATTGCGCCGAAGAAATAATCAATTACAACGTGTATGCGAAACGCATCGCTGTTATGACGCACTACAATATCCAATTTTATTTTGTCGAGGCGAAGATGGATACTCTGTCAATATAAAAATGGTTGATCCAGCAAATCCACGTGAGTTTTTGGATTAATGATGATTTTCAATAATTTTCTGTGTCATGTTTTATCATTCTATTTGCTTTGCTTTTTTTTTCAGAACGTGAAGTAAATAAAAACGTAAGCGCCATGAACTATTATGCATATAGAATTATGATACGACAAAACCAGGAAAATCATATTTTGAAAGCCCGAAAACTATTTCATCAATATATCGTAGATATGTATGCAAAGATAGAAACAGAACGTTTGAATTTCATTCGATTTAATCAAAGGAAGTTGCGCTCAGAAGAGTATATCCATCTCAGAGATGCGATCAATAATGACAGAAATGTAAACAATATTGGACAAATGGTAATTTTACCATCGACCTACACAGGGAGCCCCCGTCATATGCATGAGTACGCACAAGATGCCATATGTTATGTTCGTTGTTATGGTCGGCCTGATTTATTTATAACATTCACGTGCAATCCAAAATGGGAAGAAATTAAGAAATATTTGTATCCCGGACAATCTTCTACTGATCGCCATGATATCACTGCAAGAATATTTCGACAAAAACTCAAGTCACTTATGGATTTTATTGTCAAATATAAAGTTTACGGAGAAGTTAGATGCTGGATGTACTCTGTCGAGTGGCAAAAGAGAGGTTTGCCACACGCGCATATTTTAATATGGTTAGTGGACAAAATTACAACCGATCAAATAGATGATGTAATCTCAGCTGAGATTCCGGATCAGACAATTGATCCAGATTTATTTGATGTTGTCACTAAAAATATGATACATGGCCCGTGTGGTGTGATAAATGTCAATTCACCATGTATGCAAGATGGCAAATGTACGAAACGATACCCTAGAGCACTCATTTCTGAAACAATTACTGGAAATGATGGATACCCTCTATATCGTCGACGTTCAACACAGGATAACGGCAAATCAATAACTTTACAAGTGAATCGTCAAGATTTTGAAATTGATAATAGATGGGTAGTTCCCTATTCGCCATTGCTATCGAAAGCGTACAAAGCTCATATCAATGTAGAATATTGTAATTCGGTCAAATCGATTAAATACATTTGCAAGTATATTAACAAAGGCAGTGACATGGCTGTTTTTGGAGTTGCAGAGAACCGAAATGATGAAATAACTCAATACCAAATGGGCAGGTACATTAGTAGTAACGAGGCAGTTTGGCGAATTCTGTCTTTCCCCATTCATGACCGTAGTCCAGCTGTTATTCATTTAGCAGTTCATTTGGAAAATGGACAGCGTGTGTATTTTACTGTTGATAATGCTCAGGCAATTGTAGAGCGACCGCCATCAACCACATTAATTTCTTTTTTTAAATTATGTGAAAGAGATCAATTTGCTAAAACACTGCTTTATTCACAAGTACCAACATATTACACATGGAATGTAAGTTCAAAGACATGGGAAAGACGTAAAAGAGGAAAACCTGTTGATGGTTATCCTGGTGTTTTTGAAAGTGACGCCATAGGACGACTTTATACAGTGCATCCTAGCCAGGCTGAATGTTTTTATTTGCGTCTTTTATTAATTAATGTTCGTGGACCAACGTCTTTTTTGAATTTGAAAAGAGTTAATGGGCGCCTCTGTCAAACTTACCGGCGAGCATGTGAAGAATTGCATCTACTTGAAGATGATAATCATTGGGATGCAACACTTGCAGATGCATCCGCAACAGGTACACCGCATCAAATACGGACATTATTTTCAATTATTGTTGCAACATGTTTTCCATCTGATCCATTGCAACTGTGGCAAAGTTATCGTGATTATATGACCGAAGATATCTTGAATATAATGCGTCGTATTTCTGCAAATCAGGAATTACTCATTACACTGGAAATGTATAACGAGGTGGCTACGCGAGCACTGCAACACTTATATTTAATTAACACAATTTGTAGCTAGCTTACTAGTGTGCATTTCATTTTGAATTTTGTATCTCTTGAAATTTGTATATTTTGAATTTGTACTTTGAACTAGCTCTGGTGTGCACCCTTTGTAAGCCAACCACTCCTAAGGCAACGCATGCCCAACTCGCTCGCTACCAAATCGCTGTATACTCAT